GTTTGAGAGAGGCGGGGCATAGAGGACCTACAATAATGTACAGTATTTGAAAAATAATGTGGTTTTTGAACATTAAAGCATTCAACAATGCCAACATATTCTGTTACACCAAATACACAAAATAATGATCTTTAAAATAGCATCATATGACCCCTTTAAAGGGATAGTTGCTGGTCCCCATTGACTTACATAGTGTTTTTTTTCCATACTACGGAAGTCAATGGGGATCAGCAACTGAAGGTGAACAATCCCTTCAAGGCAGCGGTCCTCAATCCTGGAAGACCCCAGTACTGCGACTTATGATATAATTCAGGTAATTATCAATAATGGATAAAAAATGTGCAGTGTTGGGGTTCTTCGGGACCTGGATTTGAGGACCACTGTTTTAGGGCTGTGCCATGAACAGACCTCTCTGGTGCAGTGACTAACAATACTAATACTGATCTAGCGCTGGTCTTCTGGATAGTTTAGTGTTGTATCTGGTGCAGTACACTCATCTGCTGCATGTCATGGCCTCACTGGGCTTCTGCCTTCCCTTACTCCCTCTGTGACTTAACATCACGTGTCTGACTCTCGATATCAAACCTCTGAGCATCAATCCAAACCACTTACCGGGTCTAATAAAGAGACAGCGATCTCCGAGTGGTTTAAAAGCTATGTAAACACTCATTTGACAGGTAGCCCGACACTCCCAGCAAGCCTCGGACGGGAGCTGAGCGCGTGTTAGCTCGTTAGCATGATCAACATCTTACCGTTCAGAGGAACATCCAGATCACCCACAACCGTAACAGGGCTTGTTCCTGCTCGTCCCACCACGAGCCTCAAGTCAGTATAACGCTCCGCAGCCTGATTGTGAGGGTTTGGGGCTGAAATCGGGCAGCCGAGCAGTTGTGTGTGTGTCCAGTCTTCCGGAGCTCGACGGGGGAAGTTCCTGCCACTGACAGTCCGATTCCTCCAGCACGAGCTCAAATCACAGAGTGGCGCAGAAACAATAGACTCATAATCACATAGTCGTTCGCGAAAACGCATCCGTCTGGAGCTGCACTGGGTGAAAATGGCGTTGTGTTTCTCCCGGCAGGCAGGTTCACTCCTCCTGATGATGTCATCCCAGGATTAAAGGAGCGCGCTATTGTTTGACAATCTACTCTCATTGATTTTGAGGAGAAATGTGAGAATATTCTACTCTCTTAACTAGTGATATTAGCTGCATTGATTGTTTCTGTTCATTTAACTTTTTAGTTCGCAAATGTATAGTCAGTATAACGCAATATGGCATGATGGTTTTGATTTTGCGAATGCTATTAATGTAGACATTAATCAAAACCATCATGCCACATTTTTATAATAAAGTTCTTTTCGTTTATGTAAGCAATATTATTAATAAGAATTGTCACATTACTCAAGCTATTATTAGCTTCAAGTATAATTTTTGTTAATTTTAATTTGAACCTTGTGGTTTTATTTTGTATATTTCATAAAGCATTTGGCAAACTTCCATTTTATGACAAGTTGCTTTACTAAATATTAGGCACAAGGTGCTGTTGATTAATCTTACGATTATTAGAAAAATTGGCCAGTAGTTTATGTATTTCTTCTGTGCCAATAAAAGAGTGAGAAAGAGTGGAGTGACAGAGATTTCTCCTGCTCAAAGCATTTGGTAATCACTCCGCTTCATCTCCACTCCTGGTTTGACATTTCCCTATTCGACACACCTTGAGAAGTTTAAGAAATCTTTTTCCCCTTTTATTCACAGTTTTGTGAATTATTAGCCTATATCTTAAACTGTGTTTTTACCTACCTCGATATGACAATTCATGGATTGTATGGTCCTTGTTATTTATTATTTGGCTGGGATTCATACAAGACAATATACACTACATCAACAAAGTAGCAAATAATTTAGCCAAATTAAATGTAATAAAAATTTAATCCTTTTTTTCCACCAAACATTTTCCAAAACCATGTTTGAATCACAGAGAGGCTTTTACTCTATCAGTGTTTCATCTTCAAAAATAAATATCTTTCAGGTGTAATGGTCAGTTTGAACTTAAAGTTTGTACTTAATGATACATAGTTAACCGAATTTTTTTTTTTTTCAAAACTAAATGTCATGATTTACTCACCCTCATGTCATTCCAAACCTGTATTTCTCAAAATATCTTCTTTTATGTTCCACAAAAGAAAGTCATAAAGTTTTGGAATAGCACAAGGGTGAGTAAATGACTATAGAATTTTCAGTTTGGGGTGAACTATCACTTTAAGACATGCCTGTAGCTTTCTACAGGCCGCTACACAACAGTGCATCTTTCCACTCCACATGGGTAGCTACAGCAACATGGGTTAATTATCAGGTTTTGAACTTAGTCAGAAGATTGAGATTGTAAATATTTACTGCTTCTCTCTACTGAAAATTGAGAATGGAAAATCTAGCCTGATGAACTGCTTTACACTCTCATATTTACAAACACAGGCAGACAAGCATCTTCAGTATTTCACAGGAGTTCCAGATTTTGCTGCAATCTTTGCTCTAATCTTAAATGCTTTCATTTCCACATAGAGACAACACCATAGAGAGTCGTGATTGATTTACAGTCTTTATTTGCATTTCATGTAGTTTTGCCTTTCTCTCGTCCAGTTCCCCTCGTCTGTCCAGTCAGTGTCCTCCATGTGTTGTGTAGAGCTACTCTCGCCATCAGAAGTGTAATGGTGAAATTCCTTCTATACCATTCCCTGATTAACAAAAAGATTTGTAAGAAATGAATAACAGGGAATTAGATTGACATGGTCCCTACACAGTGTTCTTTGCTCCCTACTCCCTGAGCACAGGAAACCGTTGCCAAGTTCTTCACTTCGGAACATTCATTCACGGATTTACGTCTTCACACACAGATGAAACTTACTAGAGAAGTGTGACATAATATACCGCTGTAAATAAATACAATTTAAATTAACGTCTTGCACACTTTAATGCCCTTTGAATGGAACATATATACACTCCCTTTGAACTGGAATCATGGCGGAAAATCCTCCGTTGTCGATAGAACAAACGTCTGAAGTGATAAGAGATGCATACAAAATGTGCAGAGCGGTGGTACGCGAGAACTGGAATTGAGAACCACTGATATAGAAGAATATGGAGCTCATACTTAAAACACCTCAGTTTTATTCAGAGGCCTAAACTGAGCAAAACTATGCAATTTGCCGCAATTGCTGATGGCTAAAAGGTAAGATGCAATTACAGTATGATAGCTTATAGTGTAAAACAAATGATATCTTTTTAACAGTATAGCAGACTTATTTACATAAAATGCATTTACATATCAGCCATCACTCTATATCTTACAATATGTTTTAATAAGATGATATTTAAATGCTTAATGATCAAAGTTCTGTAGTTTTTATTGTGGGGGCAAAGCATATAATGCAATGTAATACAGTGATGACTGAGAGATGAACAAATAAACAGCCTTTTACTTGTTAAAGAAGCATGAATTATCAGTCAGAGGGCAGAAGGCATGTAGAAGATTGTATACAACAGGTGTTGTTATATAATGAGTATTTATCTCACCTGTTATAACTGGCATGCCTTGTAATGTTTTGGTCCAAGAAGTGTTTGTAGAATACTGCCATTTCCTCACTGCTTAAAGTCCTTTTCCTTCCTGGAGCCATAATAAATGACACATTATACACTTGGCATGTCCCCAACCACTTTAAGATTCAATTATCAGGTCGATCCATACGAGTTCTTCAATGATTGATCCTTAAACATGTACATTTGGTTATATCTTTGCCAGTTAGTGTGATAAATATACTGTAGGTAATGTTCATGTTTAGACGGCTCACCATCATCATCTCTCTCTGACAACCCTTTTGCCGACAGTTGTGATCTCACATATTCTTCCTTTTTCTGTAAGACAACAATTTTTATTTTTTTTTATTTTTAAAGGGCAAGTGGTGCTTTTCTGTACAAAATTTGCCAACATTGCTATGTGGTTGCTAAGCTGTTCTAGAAGGCCAGAGTCAAAAAAAAGTCCACTCTCTAAGTATTTACAGCAGTACAAATAATAAGCATATTTCTGCAAGCATCTAAAGAAATAAAGATTTACAACACAAAACTACCCTCTAGTGGTGATAGTGGTAAAGGAAGAACTTCATGGAGGATTTCAATAGTTGCAGTAACTACTCAACATGCTAAATTTGTTTCCTGCATCAAACTGTGTTGTTTTTAAACTCGCACCATACAACTGTGGTTCACACACCTTGCTAAATGTGAAGTTCTGGTTAGTCCAGAACTCGTGACTCCAGTCTTCAGTCTCCTGTCTCAGATGCCTCAACTTCCTTTCCAGTGGTGTCTCATTCTCTGGGATGTGGTATCTGATCGGCCTCAGGTTTGACAGTCTGTCTGGTGGACCAATCCAGTCATATTTTGATGTTGCTTCTGGACTGAATCCAGTCTTCTACAATGAAAAGATTAAAACAAGGCAGCATAAGAAATTTCCACAAAAAAAAAAAAAACTATAAATCTGGTTAAAATTAATTAAACCGGATCTACAATAGTAACTTTTTTCTAATTTAAATTATATATAAATGATTCAATTTCAATAATCATTAGGAAACGTAAAAGAAAAGGTAAGGAAATATGTGAATTTCTAAATTTCAAATAATAATAGCAATAGTACATTTAATTGAACGACACAAACCTCTGATCGCTTGACATGTTTCGGTGGTTGGCTTGCGCTTTGCCGTTGACCTCGACAGCGCAGGGACCTAACGCAACGCAGAGACCTACATATTAAATAACTGCCTGTTTTTACATTCATCGTTGATGAGCCATTGACCTTGACCAAAAATAATAAGTACAATTTCTCCACTGGCCTCCGTTACAGCATGAATCTTCAGTACATTAACTTCTTCTTCTTCTTCTTCTTCATTGGCGGTTGGCAACCTAACTGATTGGCGCATTACCGCCAACGACTGGAATTTCAGTTCATTTTTAACATGGTAGATAAATTTAAAACAAAAGTCCTTCACCTCGCTCATGCATCAGTACTTCCTACAAGAGAGGATATATATTATTGCTTTCTAAGAAAATAATAATAATAATAATAAAACGTAACATATCGCGTTCTGTAACGAGTGCATTGTGTTTTATGTGAATTATATTTCCAACAAAAATGTTTGTAACTGGCGCGTTCTACTTCCTGTACTTCTGATTTAATCAAACTGGACGACCAAAACATACCATGAGTTACGAAACGTTTTTGTGACTATCCCTTTATTTATATATGTGTGTGTGTTTGAAAATAAATGCTTTCAGTAAATACTTTTACAATGTTACATAAAAATTCCATTTTAAATAATGTTTTTAAATATTTGAATTTAAATTCTCATCATTAAAGAATCCTGAAAAAAATTTATCACTGTGACGTATCACTGTAAAAATATATCACAGCAAATCAGCAAATGAGAATGATTTCTGAAGGATCATGTGACACTGAAGACTGGGGTAATGATGCTGAAAATACAGCTTTACCATCACAGGTATAAATTAAAAAGTTTGTAAAATTGCAATAACATTGCTGTTTTACTGTATTTTGGGTAAATAAATGCAGCCTTATTGAGCATAAGAGCTTTCTTAAAAAACATTTTAAAATCTTACTAACCCCACATTTTTTAATGATAGTCAGAGTATAATTTTATTATATTCTCCCGCCCATATAAAACGCCTGAAAACAATTTGACATGTATTATCCTTCAGGCCACTCAGAGATCCCAAACATCTTATATATATATATATTTTGATACGTGTTATTGGTGTTTAATAAATTCAAACCCCTCGTAACTCGTTCGTTCTCGCTTGGCCAGCTGGTTTATGTCATTAGACATGTACGCCCGGTGGTTGTAAACGAAACTCGGGTTGTTTTTAATCTGTAAACACAGGCGCACCAATGGCTGTCCGCTGGATATGCAGGTAGGATGGACAGCCTGTTAAACATCATGTTTATTTCTAATTCTATAAGAAAACAGAATCCACGGCATGGCTATAAATTTGGATCTGCTAATGTTGCATCACATTTCTTTTTACAGCGTTGTGCATTGTAACCAATCACACACGATTCCGTTGAGTTTATGAATGCAATGGCCAATCAGAATTCAGATGTATGTCGAAGCAATTTATGGCAGTTTTGGGGGATCTAAATAAAATAGTGTTATCTTTCGTTTTACTAATACACATTTTCATAGTTTTGTAAAGGGTGTCTGTAAAGGATGACTGGCACAAATTAAATCTAGGTCACCCCCCAATTTGGTAAAGAATGTTTAATATACCGAGCTTTTCGTCGTCGAAACACGCTTGCATTGGTTGATTAAAGTTAGGCTAATTGTTAATAAATGCCTCTACACCTTACCTTATTCATTTATGTAATGAGAAAAAAATCTGATTTATTAGGATCGATTTTGACCTACTTAAGACACGCTTTAAATGTATAAAATTTAAGTGGACAATCAGATTTTGGTATTGTAAAAGTCACACTTAACATATTTTCCTTAACTTATAATTTTAATTAAATTTTCTAAAGATATACTCCACTTATAAAGTGTGGACATTTGAATGATAGCATACTAGACTTGTGCCGGTATTCGGTAATGCGGTATATCACGAGTTCTTTTGCACTTTAATCTGTGTAAAACTTTTAACTTTATACATTTTTCTGTATTGTTTTATTGCTTTTAAATGTTCAGTTATTTTTGTTATAAGAAAAATGTTATTAAACCTGTTATACTGTATTATGACAGCACTTTTTAAACTAAATTTCAATATCGTGATAATACCGCATACCATGATAAAAGCATTAGCAATTTGATAATTGCTACCGGCATAAAAAAAAAAATTTGATACCGGCATATCCCTATAGCATACACAGTTCTCTATATGCACTAGGCTACACATACATGGGCTAAATAGAGAGATTGCTTGTTTTGATAGATAAGTATAAGTTAAAGGGGTCCTATTATGCTCCAATCACAGCACATTTCGTATTTCAGAAGGCGGGCCTTCATTTGATACAGAAACTATTTGAGCCGTTCATCATGCCAGACTGGGGAGAGAGGTGTTGTAATGTAAAATATGTCAAAAATAATGTTTTTCGAACAACTTATATGAGAGCCTGTTCTAGTACACCCCCAAAACAAAATCAAGACTTTGTAAGAGCATAATAGGACCCCTTTAAGTAACATGGCATTGACCTTCAATGACACTCACTTCCCGCCACCTACCGGCGTAAAGATGTCACTGCACAAAGAGTCACTCAGTGAACTGATTCAAAAGAGTCACTGAGATGAATCACTAGCGCTTATAGTGGGAGGGGAGGGGCAGGAATGCAGTCCATACCCGATGTGATGCTGCTTCTGCTGCTGCTCTAAATCCCGGTCTCTGCAAGTCCACGATCCAGAAATTACTGGAGTGTTGCACCGCGCAAAACATTTCAGTAGCGTAGCTGATGGAAACGGAGTCCGTTAGACATGTGCGCGAACGTTTTCGGCGCATTGAAAAGGTGAGAAATATGCTGCGCATTTTAGGAGGTGCTCGGATTGTGTCGGAAAGGGTTGGCTGGTGTTCAGAAGGAATAAAAATGGCCTTCTGCGATGGTTTCGTTCATGTAAATCCAGGCACAGCGCTGTCAGATTGCAGGAAGCATCGTTTTGGTGAGGCATGTTCAGGTTTGTGTTATATTCTAACTCTGCCTTATTGATTTTATAGTTCATGTCACGGAGGTAGCCACATATTCAGTACTGGGGGACGAACAAATGTAGTAATTTAAGAATCAGCCACTGAAAACCCTCATTCTGGGGGGACATGTTAGGTTCCTGGTTCATGTATCGGGGTTCAGCTGTAAGACACGCTTCATGGAGGCACAGATGATGATGAAGAGACGTGTATTTAATTCATTCATCCTCCATGAACAGAAGACGGTTTTCACTGACCTCGCCGGTAACATCAGCATCAGAGCTGCTGTGGACAGTTCCAGAATCTCGACTCCTTCCCTGTAATATTGATGCTGAAGTTTGAAGACCCCTGCTATAGGTCTCAGTAACTGTAATAGAAAAGAAGTTTGGTCATTTTTAATAAAAAAAATTAAATCTACTGGTCTTGTTCTGCCAGGACATTATCCATTCAGTTAACGGACATTCCTTTAACTTTCAAACAACTGATGTGCATGTAAACGGGGAAAACTGGTTATTTTAATAAGCTGATATTTGTGAGTTATCAGCTTACTGGTGTGCATGTAAACATGCTCAATGATTAATTCAAAATATGGGTAAAACACCTGTGAAAAAATCAATAAGGAATCAATTCCTTAATATTACAATATGAAGGTACAAATAGTACACAGTACATTAGGCCATAATTTTTTTAGACTTTTCCATAGTGTACGTCATTTATTATTTATGTTAAGTTAATGTTTATTGCATCATTTTAGTGTCGTGTGTTACCCTGATGGTTGTGACAATATTTTCTACTGTGAATTTCTGGCAACTGCAGATGCCAGTTTTTACCGTAAATTTAACAGGATGTTTTTAACGGTATACTTAAAAAAATGAAAATAGGCCTACTTTTTGATTATTGTGATGATGATGAGACATTGCATTCAGCCTCCATGTACAGAGAACATTTTTTGTTTAGTCTAGTTAGACCTCCATCAGTTCCTGTGATTTTTTTTAAATTATTATTATTTTAAAATAAGGCAAACAAGGATATAAGTACAGTTCATTCAATACTGTTGCTTAACAACACACAGATTGTTCAGCTGACTAAATGTCTTTACGGGGAAAAAAAACCTTCAGTTGACCAAAGCTCCATAAAACAGTTTTGAAAGTTGCGAGTTGTGAAAATGACATGATCGAAGACCTTATACAGTTTGTGCCATTGTAAAGACTGTAAGTCTATCCCTCACAGGCCCATTTCCATCTGTGTTAAATAATGTGTGTTGGTAAGAAAATATGTGTGCAATTTGGAATCAAGCCTGTATGTCCATTTTATTGATTGTTTGTTGTGTATAAGTGACATAAGGTGTTTGTTTTGTAGTCGATGAAGTGGTTCTTGAGCCTTATTGACAGTGTTATTGGGAATACAGAAGGCAAAAAAATGTAGGCAATACTTAGGGTTTACTCATTTGGACCAATAAGTGGGGACCATCCATAAAAATATTGTTCCAGCCAGGCCATGTGAATTTGAGTTTTAGAAGATAATTAATTGACTGATGTGGCGGAATGCCATGAATGGTGAGAGAAACAGTGATGTATTTAGCAGTTCCCACTGATAAGCTTTGGCATGGATGGCATGTTGACTCTATGGCTTCACCCAGATGTCATAGTCCAAAGTGTTTGTGCCCATATTTACTTGCAAGAAGTTGCAACCTATAATAAGAGGTCTTCTGTGGCTTAAATTACTGGATCGCGGAGAATGATAAAGGAGGGGGGAGACAGAAAGCTGGGTAGCAGTTGGAGAATCTGGACAGATGATGGTTCTGACTCATCCTTATCTGACCCTTCCCTTCCCTCCTACAATCACAGCATGACGTCACATTAACGTTGTAGTGTTGCTCAACTGTGGGAACCAGATATTCAGCAAGCTAGGTGAACTGTTCATAAGTTCTCTTGAACTTGGGTGTTTCTTGGGAGTATTCAAGGAGTATGTATTTGATATTTTTAATGTGACAGTAATATATAACTGGTTTTGTTAGATTGGAGCAGATGATGCTTTTCGGTGAGAGGGACTTAAGTATGGTGCTTATTTTTATTTGGCTGTAATCATTTTTATTGACACTGCTGTGAGTTTTCTTCTTGACAACGTCCAGGCTGTTTACCTGGTTATATAAAAGGATAAAGCACCCAAGGCATACTTTTAGAGGGGAAAAAAAGCCATCAAGAACAAGCTTAACATCTCCGATCCTGAGGACTGCATTCTCACTGCACAGTTGTAAATGTATTGTGCATTAAAGTAATATTCAGGATTAAATGCAGTTTAATCTCTTTCATCAGCATCTGTGT